GAAAAAAGACGGTTATCCAGGGGGAAGCAACAGCAGCAGAGCTGTTGATGAGGACCAGTGCTGAGAGGACATTAGATCTTGGGGGGGGGGGGCAAGTCTGAGGTTCGGGGGTGGGGGGGGACATGGCTCATGAAGGAGGACGGGGAGAAGTTCTCATTTATTCCTAACAAGTGCTGTGTGATGAGCGAGGAGATCCCTTATGTTACTGACATGAACACCTCCGGGTGCACATCTGAGATCATGATCATCGTTCTCCTCCAGGTCAAATGTCTCAGAGGTTTTCAAACTAACTCAGAGGTTTTTGTTTGTAAGATAAAAACCACTGGACAGGTTTTGATTTTACTTTTAGAATTAGAGTTTCATGAATTATCTTCTTCTGATTTAACTTGACTTTATTCCACAAATCTAAAAAAAACATCTTCCTCGGATTTAGATTTTATTCACAATATTTTACGCAGCATTTCCTCCTTACTACATTTCAACGTTATTCCTTGAGCTGTGACTTCCTCTCATTTTATTCACATTCATTCTTGAAATCCAAAAGGAACAAAATCGTGTCATGGTTTGTTGCTCACTCGTGACCCCAGCACTGTGTTTCTGTCCTTCAGTCATTTTAACAGTCAAACACAAACGTCCAGATGTCCCTCACCTTGCCTCCTCCGGGCGTGTGCTTGAGGTTGTCTTTAGAGCCGCAGCGAGCCTGGACGTTAGTTAAGTCCAGCTTCTTATCCAGGATCTGAACCTGCCGAGTGCAAGGAAGAAAATAAAGTTCTTGAGAAATGAAAGTGGGAGCTTTCCCAGGAGGGGGGGGGGGGGGAATCAGCCCCAGAGGAGGAGATAAGATGTTAAAGGGATGAAGACTTCACATGTTTGTTAAATTAAAGCTGCCGTACATCACACACGTTGATTCAGCATCAACAGACCTGACGTTAAAACCTTTTGTCTGAATGAACCTTGAGCTTTCAGTGTAAGACGTAAAATAATAGTTAAATGTCTTAAAGTGGATCAGATTGAGAGAGTCCATCTCCTCATCATGTGTTTGTACAAGCAACAAAACCAAGAGAGCAACTTTCTTGTTTTACCAAAAGTTGGTTTTGATGATCATAACTGCAGAGATACTCAAGAGTCTGGTGTTGAGTTCATCCCTCAGTTACTCACATTGCCGCCACCGGGTACATGTTTGATATTGTCTTTGGAGCCACACTTAGCCTGGACATTACTATAATCCACCTTCTGATCAAGGACCTGTACCTGGAGAAACGAAAACGTCAGCGTCTAGACTCGTAAAAGTGGAGACCATCATTTATTTCACATCTGGAAGAAAGAGAAGTGGACCCTGCTGAGGTCCACCAGTCGAGATGTGACCAGAAACTCAACAGGACCAAAGACGAGAAGATAAACGTAGCAGTCAGACGGAGAACGAACTAAAAACCATTTGTCCTGAAAACAGGAAACTTAAGTTTTGGTCCATAAATATTAGAGCACGTGACGGCAGCTACACAAACACTTCACACAACCAAACACACAAAACTCTCTTCTGCACAGAGTAGAAACCTGGGACTGTGTGCAGGTGTAGTCACATGGAGTCTGTTTACCTTCCCACCTCCAGGCTGGTGCTTGATGTTGTCTGTGGAGCCGACCTTGGACCTGACGTTCTTCAGGTCCGGAATCGGCGCCGCGGCGGCCAGAGGAGCCGGCGGGCGGCTCTTCAGTGAGCCCGGGGATTTGGGCGTCGAGCGCACCACAGCGATCTTCTTCACCTTGTTGGCCTCGGCCACAGACTTGGCAGAGTGTGCTTGGCTCGAGGGGGATTTGGGAGTACCAGGGCTGCTCTGTCCACTCATGGCATCTAGAAGCAACGGGTCAAAGGTCGTGAGCGTGTCCACGGTCATGGAGGAAAGAAAAATAATGAAGAAATAATAATAGAAATGAACCGGGAGCTATCGAGGCTAAAAGCAGAACAAGTCTGATCCAGGTCAGACTGGAGTCGAGAGGCTGAATTTCTAATCTTCTGATTTCTGCTTTTTTAGTTTTACCTTTTTCATTTTTTGGAGTGGGAGGTTTCTTGGCATTAGCTGTATCACAAAAAATATGACACATCATAAATAAGTCTTTAAATCTGACTCTGTTTAAATGAATATGAATCAAAATGAAAACAACTCATACAAACATGTGAACTCCTCGCTCCTTACCTGGCTGAGCTGCAGTTCTCACTGAAGTTTTGGCTCCTGGGGACTGAAACTTTGCACCAGCCTGGAAATGAAAAACAGCAAAACAGCGATTTAGTTTTTTTTATTTCCGAACAGAGCTCCGGACTCGGACTCGGGTCAGTGATCTTCACACAGCAATCACACAAATCTAATCTGTGATTAGTGATGAATGGAGGAAGTTCGGTTAGTGAAAGGAAATGAGCGGTGGTTTGAATTCACACCTTTTCAAAATAAAAGCTGGACTCAGGTCTACAGTCTACGCTGCATTCAGACCTGTACTTACTCCGGGCTGCCTGGGCCCTGGGCTGCTGGCTTTAATGGGGATGGAGCTGTGGCCGTTTCGGGCGGACGTGAGTGTTTTGTTGCCCTTGGCGACTACGGATGGTCGTTTAGGGGCAGAGGTTGGTGTGGTGGCAGTTTGAGTCTTTTTCATGAGGAGGAAAAATGACATGGAAAACAAAGGTTCTAATGACAGAGACCATAAAACAGAGGAATGATTCAACAAATGAAAATGATGGAAATGAATGAAACCGTCTCAAGGATTAAATGTTAAAGAATCGTTCTGGTTGATTCAATGAATAAACTATAGAACGACCCTTTAAATGAATTGTGATAAAAGAAATGACCGAGTCACGAACCTTCTCTGTGGAGCCGTTATCCATCTTTGCTTGAGCTACAGAAAAGAGAGAAAAGCAGATTTTGAAACGTTATTTTTTCTGTAAATTTAATATCGTCTCGTTCCAAGTGTCTGTTTCCGGCAAAAGGAAAATGAAGTGAGATCGGTGACGTGGGATATGCAACATGCAACGTGAAATCAAGAAAGTGGCTTCTGGGGGCTGCATGACGAGCAGAGTGAGCAGAGATGGAGAAACGAAAGAGCTAAAGTGGGGAGGGAGGACAACAGGCGTCTCCTCGGGTCGGGGTTACCGTCCTGAGAAAGACTCAGGACGGACAGTGCTGCATAACAGACGGTAGAAGCTGCTGTAAATCAAACAAGTGGGAGGGCTGAACTGAAGAGGACTCGTTCTGGTGAACATCAGAGCAAACAGACCTTTGAAAATGGCGACCGGCACCATAGACTTTCTGGCTGGCGAACTTTGGGGGGGTGTTTTCTGCAGCTCGGCGGCACCGGTGGTCTGAGCCCCACCGCTGCTCCGCTCCGAGCCGTTAGACATGTCAGGCCTTGAATCGCAGGCCCCGTTTTCAGCCATGTCGTCAGACGGCATGTGGGTTAGAGGGCGATCGTTCCGGCCGCTGTTCGCTGGGTGAAGATCTTCTGAGTGAGAATCAAATGCAGATTGTGAGAGACGCTGGGTTTGAGCGGCGTGTTGACTTTCTGGAGCGACAGTTTTGGTTCCAGAGTCTCTGCAGGACTTTAAAGCTGCGTCATCAGCCGCCAGTCCATCGCCAACTTGCTCAGGGACGAGCTCCTCCCCTTGAAACAAGCGTTTGTCCCCGATGGACGTGAGGTCTTCCAAAGCCGTGCTCCTGACTAAAGACGAGAGATCGCTCATCTCCGTCAGACACTCGGAGGCGTCCAGGCTGATCGCTCTGTGAGAGTCGGCCGCTCCGGTCAGCTCTGGGCTCCGGCTGCTGGCCTCCACATCCCGCCTGACCTCTGACCTGCAGCTGAGGTCTTCAGAGGCCCACGAGGAGTCGCTCAGCTTCTTCCCACACTCCCCCACCGTCTTGTTTCCTGCGTCCTCGGAGCAGGCAGCTCCCAGGAAGTCAACGCCATCCTCAGCGAGCATTGATCCGTCGCCCGCAAGCGCGACCTCACGCCGGACTCCAGTAGCGGGCCTCGCTATTTTTATTTTGAAAAGCAGATTAATGGTGACATTCACAGAACTGGTTTGTCGTCTCCCCATGGAAAGGAAAGAATAAAGAAGTGGTGTCCATGAGGAAAATTAAGCCCTTTCATTAACCGGAAAAAGAAAGCGATGTGTAAAAGGTGCACGACTCATGAACAGTGATTAATGGAGGTCGGTTTAAAAAGAAAACACTCGAGTTCACATGAAATGAAATGAAATGGAGATGGACAGTAGAGCATCACACTGAGGTGACAGACGACAGACGCTTCATTCCAGTGAAACTTAACCAACAGGTCAAATGTGATTTTTCTTATTTAAACATGATTCAAATGTGATTTTAAAGTTTTTTCTCTGAATGTGCAACACAGACTGTAAAATAAAGACGGAGGACATGAGTCCCGTCTCCTGCAGTAAATAAATCCAGCGTGCGTGTGATGGATGAAACGTAGAGCAGCAGCGTACCTGTCGAAGCTGCTCCTCCTCCTGCTGCTGCTGCTGCTGCAACATGAGGAGACATGAGAGCACGTCAGTAACGATCACCAGCGATTAATACACTGCAGGGAAATCAATACCACACACACACACACACA